TCCTCCTCCCCTCCTCTTTGTCTCCTCCTCCTCCCCTTCTCCTCCTCTTCTCCTCCTCCTCCTCCTTCTCTTCCTCCTCCTCAATATCTCAGCTCAAATGAGGGCCCTCCTCAAATAAACCGCATGTACTTGAACTTTGGTTGCATTAGAAACTGTCATATCACACCACTTATTTCCTTCATGACACTAACATCAGTTCATTACCCATGTTTTTCTGAATTTTTGGTGAGAACAACGCCTTCGTACTAGATAAACATTAGCTCTTATAATTTTATAGTTATTAATTATGATATTTAGCAGTGTAATTATAATACTTATCAATATTATAATCTGTATTATCAGGGAGAGACATGTCTGTCTGGACTACAGTCTAGATACTCAGTAAGGATTTGTTGAATGTATTAACGAATGAATGAGTGAATGAATGATATTTTCCTTCCAGAGCTCCGCAAGCAATGGCTGGAATGGAGAGAACTCAACTGAACACCTCACTGTGCCCCTGAGGCCCTTGACCATCGGGAAGGAGGTGACCATGGATGTTCCTGCTCCACATGTAAGTGGCCTCAACTGGATGGGAAACTCCCATCCAGTAAGAATGAAGATGAGGCCAGGCGCAGTAGCTCAAGCCTGTAATCCCAGCACTTTGGGAGGCCAAGGCAGGCAGATCACCTGAAGTCAGGAGTTTGAGAACAGCCTGGCCAACATGACGAAACCTGTCTGTACTAAAAATGCAAAAATTAGCCAGGCGTGGTGCTAGGCACCTGTAATCCCAGTTACTTGGGAGGCTGAGGCAGGAGAATCGCTTGAACCTGGGAGGCGGAGGTTGCAGTGAGCTGAGACTGTGCCATTGTACTCCAGCCTGAGTGACAGAGTGAGACTCCAACTGAAAAAAAAAAAAAAAAAAAAAGAATGAATGAAGATGAAGGGGACCAAGGCCTCAGGGAATTCCCCTGTGGCGCTTAGGGTATAGGAGGATCTGAGCAGAGTCTCTGGCTTTGATTTCAGGCCCCAGGAGTGAGGCTGCAGCTCAAGGCAGAGAGCTGGTAAGGGACATTCACATCTGTGGGGACAGTGAGAGGCAGGCATGCCGGAGGGGAGGGCTGTGGACAAGGGTGGTTCTTGAGACTGGAGGAGGGGGCTTCTTTGGCAGCTCACTTTGGGCTTGGCCAGCCAGTGGCTGAGCTGTGTAGGTGTCCCCTGACCCCTGGATCCTCCATTGCTGCAGCCCCAAGGAGCTGGCCATGCACCTGAGCTTCAATCTGTGTGCAGAGGAGCAGGCCTTCCTGAGCAGGAGGAGGCAGGTGGTGGCCAAGGCCCTGAAGCAGTCCCTGCAGCTGGACAGAGACCTGCAGGAGGATGAGGTCTGGGTGCAGGGGATGTGGGTACAGATATCCTGGACTGGCCATAAGGGTGTACCTGATTCCTATGCCTCTCCAGAAACTCCAGTCAGTGGAGACTGGGCATGTGTCGGGAGACATGGGAGTGTGGCTAGGCTTTGGGGTTCTAACTCTTGGGAGTTCCATCCTGGGCTGAGAGCCATTGCTTCCAGAGGAGGGCTGGACCCAGCCTTAATCCTGACCCTGTCAGGCCCTGATCCTGCGGTCCCTTCCCTGTAGACAGGTACCAGGACGGGGCCCTGTGTGAGACAGGAGGCAGCCAGTCCCTTTCCTTGTTAATCCAGCCTGTGTCCGTGTGTGGTCCAGGTACCTGTTGTGGGCATCATGGCCACAGGAGGAGGTGCCCGGGCCATGACCTCACTCTATGGCCACCTGTTGGCCCTGCAGAAGCTGGGCCTCCTGGACTGTGTGACCTACCTCAGTGGCGTCTCCGGCTCTACGTGGTGAGGATCGTGGGGGACTGGACGGCAGAGACAATCAGGGTCCCTAGTGGGACAGAGTGGACACCAGAGGGATCCTCTGTGTGGGGAGGCCAAGTAGGTGTGAGCAGTGTGATCTGATAGGAGCCAAGCAGCTTTCCCACAAGGGAGGAAACAGGCATTTACAGAAGCCCTGCCATGAGCAAGGCGGCAGAGGAGGTGCGTTCTGGATGTTACTGAAGGGCTGTGAGGTTGCCGACTCAGACGGAGCTGGGTTTGAGTCCCGGCAGCACCACTTACTGGCTGGCTGACCCTGAGCAGCTTATCTCCCCTGATTCTCAGTTGACGCGGCTCCAGACGGGGGCAATCATAGTGCACACCACATGGGACTGGGGTCCCACATGTGGAAATAAAAATTTTTGAATATAGTTAATTAAATAAAATATTAAAATTAATTTCTACAGGCTTTTATATCTTTTTAATGTGGTTACTAGGAAATTTAAAATTCCGTGTGTGGCTCACATTGTATTAATATTGGACAGCGCTGATCTGGAAGGAGAGAAAGCCCTGAGACCCATTTCCCAGATGGGCAGAGCCTTGGCGGCAGGAGCCATGTGTTAGGAGGAGCTGCAGGGTGGGAAGGAGGAGTTGCAGCTCCCCATGCCCAGCCTCAGCCTCCTACTGCTCTGTCTCCTCATTCTCCCAGGACAATGGCCCACCTGTATGGGGACCCTGAGTGGTCACAGAGGGACCTGGAGGGACCTATCAGACACGCCCGGGAGCACCTGACCAAGAGCAAGCTGGAGGTCTTTTCCCCAGAGCGCCTGGTGAGCTACCGCAGGGAGCTGGAGCTGCGGGCTGAGCAGGGCCACCCCACCACCTTTGTGGACCTGTGGGCGCTGGTGCTGGAGTCCATGCTGCATGGCCAGGTAGGGCACCTGTGCATGTGGGAAGGAGTGTATGTGCACCCCAGGGGCCAAGGTAGTACTCCCTAGCAGCTGACATGCGTATGTGCATTTCCTGCGGCGTGGAAGAGCCCCTGTTTTTGATGTCATCCTGACTTTGGAATTTAGGTTTATCATCATGTTGCAGGGCAGGGGAGCCTCGAAACTGGGGTTCTGCCCATGGAGATTCTTGGCTTCCCCCAGTAAGAAATTCAAGGGCTAGCTGGTGGTAGAAAAACAGCTTTATTGAGGGTACAGTGTTACAGCTCTGTGACTGCTCCTACAGAGCAGGGCCACCCATCAGCAGTGTGTCCAGAGCAGCAGCTCAGGGGCAGTTCCATAGTCATATTTATATCCACTTTTAATTATATGCAAATTAAGGAGTAGGTTATTCAGAAATTTCTAGAAAAGGAGCAGTAGCTTCCACGTTGTTACCAGCGAAGGAGTAAACTGTCATGATACTGGTGAGCATGTCTTATGGAGAGTTGATTTCAGCCTTTACCTATTTCAGCCAGTCTCCAATCTGGTTCCAGAGTCGAGCCCCACCTCCTACCTCATTCCGGTCTCAGAGATTAGACACACTTCCTTAATCTTAACAGGGTGCTGAAAGGTGGAAATCTGTTTTTTGTAACTGCTTCCTGCTTATTTTATGGAGATAGGCCCTGGTCAAGCAACAGCGGAGTAAAAAAATCTCTGGATACCTGATCTAAGGAGCCCAGAGGCAGAATACTTAAATTCTCCTGGTCAGTAGGCTGGATAGATTGGAAGCTTGTGCCAGCATTGTCTTTACCTGGAACTGTTGTAATCTAAAAGACACAAGCTTTACTAAGAGGTTAATCAAGCAAGGCCAAAGATTAGCAATAACAAGATAGCTTTCAAAGGTCCTAGGAGAGGTAAGAACGAGGTGAGACTTAGGAAGGCATTTTTGATTATGTAACCAGGGCACTGATCCCAACTATATCTGTTGATGTGATGTATCACATTTGTTGATTTGTCTATGTTGAACCATCCTTGCATTCCTGGGATAAATTCCATGTGCTTAATGGTGAATAATCTTTTTGATATGTTGCTGAAGTTAGTATGACAGTATTTTGTTGAGAACTTTTGTATCTATGTTCATCAAGGATCTTGGCCTGTAGCTTTCTTTTTTGTTTGTGTCGTTATCTGGCTTTGGTATCAATGTAGTTCTGACCTTGGATAATGACTTTGGAAGTATTCCCTCCTCTTCAATTTTTTGGAATAGTTTGAGTAGAATTGGTATTAGTTCTTTAAATGTTTGGTGGAACTCAGCAATGAAGCCATCAGGTCCTTAACTTTTCTTTGATGGGCAACATTTATTACTGCTCCAATCTCATTGCTTGTTATTGGTCTGTTCAGCTTTTCTGTTTCTTCATAGCTCAATCTTGGTAGGTTGAATGTGTCCAGGAATATATATATATCCTTAAGAAAAATGTGATATTATTTGCAAACAATTTTGTACAAGTGTCCTTGTACATATGCATTAGAGATTCTCTAAGTTTTCAAGATACATACCCAGTAGTAGAATTGTTGGGCCACTGGGTATGAACACCTTCAACTTTCCTAGCTATTGGCAAACCATTCTCCAAAGGAGTTGTATTAATTCACACTCCCACTACTAGTGTGTAATAGTTGCTTTTTCTCTATATCCTGTGCAGACTTTAAATTTTTTGTTTAGCATGGGTTATGAAAGGAACATTTATCATAGTTTTGCACTTCTTTTGATTTTTAGTTAAACAGCTCATGTTTTCAAGTCTATTTATCATTTAGGCTTCCCCTTCCATTAATTACCTATTCAAATCCCTTTCCATGTTCCTGTTTAATTTGTCTTTTTCATATTGTTTTATAGGAATTCTTTATATATTCTTGATGTGAATCCTCATTAGTTCTAATTGTTTTAATCCATAATTTCAATATAATCTAACTTATCATTCTTCTTCATGGTATTTTGGGGGAGGTCTTCCTTTTCTTTCCCTCAAAGTTATAAAATCTTTCTATACATTCTTATAAAATTTTTAAAAGATTTATTAATTACTAAAAGGACTTCAATCCACCAAGAATTTACCTCCAGGTATCATGTGGATAGGGATACAGTTCTTTTTTTCTCACATTAATAACAAATTTTCCCAGTCTCATCTATTGAATTTTTTCTCCACTGACCTGTATTGCTAATTCTGTCATGTATCACGTTTCATATATTTTTCATATATTTATATTCCTGGGACTCTTCCTGAGTGCCCTCTTCCATTCCAACAGGACAGATTCTCTTTCCCTATGCCAATAGCACATGGACTAAAGTTTTGTGATAAATCTTGGTATCTGGTAGGCTAAGTTACCACTCCACTTGAATTCTTCAGAATTCTCTTGGTGGTACCTGCCCCTTTACTGTTTCTTTCTCTCTTCCCTTCCCCTTCCCATTCCCCCTCTTCTCCTCTTTCTCCTCCTCCTCCTCCTCTTCTTCTTCTTCTTCCTCTTCCTCTTCCACTTCCTCTTCCTCTTCTGCACTGTCTCTCTCTCTCTCTCTCGTCGCCCAGGCTGGAGTGAACTGGCACAATCTCGGCTCACTGCAACCTCTACCTGGGGTTCAAGCCATTCTTGTGCCTCAGCCTTCCATGTAGCTGGGACTACAGGTGTGAACCACCACACCCAGCTAATTTTTATATTTTTAGTAGAGACTGTTTCACCATGTTGGCCAGGCTGGCCTTGAACTCTTGGCCTTGAGTGATCTGTCTGCCTCATCCTCCCAAAGTGCTGGGATTACATGTGTGAGCCACTACGCCCAGCCTACTGTTCTAATTATATGATAAAATCACCTAGTCATGCTTTCTGATAAATGTTGTTGGTATTTTTATGGAAATGGCATTGAATTTATAAAGCCAACATAATTACTGGAAATATTTTCATTTTATTACTATGTCCTGTGTATTCTTTGGATCTGCTGTTTAAGTTCATATTCAACTTTGAAGGTGTTGTGTTTTAATAACTGGCTTTCCTGCCTGGTGGCAGTGATTAGTTACTGTAGAATGGGAGAAGCTTGTTTTAACAGTTCACTTTACAAGGTGATAGAAAATGCAGTTTGATCCTAGGCTATAAAGTAGATTTTTATTTAATTACCATTGGATCCTCCAGTAATGACTTAATGCATGGTTTTATGTGTAAACTTTATAGGCATTCTTTTAGAAGACAATTTTTTAATTGTTCACAAAAATAGCAATGCTTGTGATATTATGGGACATCTATATATTCTTAAAAATGAACCTGGACAACATAAGGAGACCCCCATCTCTACAAAAATAAATAGCTGGGTGTGGTGCTGCATGCCTGTAGTCCCAGCTACTCAGGAGGCTAAGGTGGGAGGATCGCTTGAACATGGGAGATAGAGGCTGCAGTGAGCTGCAATCACGCCACTGCATTCCAGCCTGGGTGTTAGAGTGAGACTTTATAAAAAAAAAAAATCACTTATGCTATTTAAAAATTTTTTCCCAATATGAAAGAATTTCAATTTATAATTTCTTTTCCCCTTGGTTATTAAACCTTAGCTCTTAAAGCTAACATTCATAGTAGACTTTACAAAATAATGTTTTATTCAGGCAATTTTAATGTTCATTTTTAATTTTTTAAAGCCTTAGATAAAAACTGGTATTTATTACCTCTATGATATAATAATCTAAAGTACCAAAAGTCACTTTACAACATCAGAAAAATAAGTCCGTTTATGACAAATCACAATTTCATTAATATTAAGAATTATCATACCCTGAAACTTTGCTCCAAATGACTTTATTAGTCTACATACATCTCTAATATTGATTAGGTTTTTATAAAAACCCACTCATCAAATACAGTAGCTGTAATCAGTGCTTCTCAAATTCTCATCTCTTTGAAGCTTTTTTCATCAGTCTTTTGCTGGCAAGTACCAAACTGCTTAAAAGCTGCTTATCATTCCTCAAAGAGAAACTCAGAGTGTTTCTCTTATGCTTCCCTGAGTTAGGAGCTGGCACGCTTTCCTTCAGCTCTGAAGAAAAGGTTTTGCACACCCTTTAGTCTGCATTACCAGTACTGCACCAAGCTCTAGTGCTTCCCGTGGGACCCTCAAATCATCAGAATGGTGTTTTGCAGGGTTGAGGTTACTCGCTTGGAAGCTGGGGGGTTAGAGACTGAGAGTCCTGCCGCAGCTGACTGATGAGCCATGAGACACACTGCGTGCTGTTTCAGCAGATGGAGGGGTGTGCTGACCTTTTTCCAGAGCTTTCCCTAGGGCATAAATTGTGCAACTGTAGTAAAAGGACACACTTTCCCCTCATCCTATGCATCAGAAGAGCAACAAACAGGGTTTCTAAATAAAAAGACTTTGAGAAGGGATCATGTATACACATTTGTACCTAAGGACTGACTTGTACATACACCCAGACACCACCACCGTCAGTGGCGGGGGATCAGGCCCTATTTAGAGATTTCCTGTGAATTCTCTATAACTCGTACTGGGGACCATTGAAGAACGGGGTGGAAAGATGACTGGTGGACACAGCAGTGTTCTCGTCCAGCACAGAAGGGCTGCCAGTGAGGAGGACATACACACTGGGTGTGTTGGGTTTTTGTCATGAATGTGGGAGAGGGATCCTCCTTGGATAGGCTGGGCAGGAATCCTCACATCTGGCTGGGCATCAGGATCATCTGAGGGTTTTTAAAAGGCAAATTCCAAAGTGACTTCCAACAGACTGATCCTCGGTGGAGACCCAGACGCCCACATGCTTTACATGCTCTCCATATACACATTCCCTGAGTCAATCAGATAAGGGCTGCTGTGGCAGGCTGGAAGCCTCTAGGGCTAGACCCCCTTCTAGCTTGGAGAGCCCAAAGGTGGGATAACGTATTCATGGTGCATGTACTGCCCAGTAGGAGCAGCCTAGGGCTGACAGCATCAACCTCAGCTGTGGCGACAGATTCCTTCCCAAGGTGGCGCTGCG